TGGCACAGCGGTGTAAGGATGTGGCATTCTCAAGTCCTCTGTCCAGAATGTAGACGTACAGTTTAGGGTTTTTTGTGTAAGATTTGTATAGGGACCCCAAGCACTCTTCAAGTGAGCCAATACAGGTTACAGGACATTGCACCCAACAGTTTTATGTTCGGGCGCTGGGTTGGTTCCTAATGATGGTTTAGGGCTGCTGCCAGAGAGCCGAGCTTCTTGGCGGTCAGGTGTCGGGCGGCATCATGACGCTTGCTTGAGCCTCGGGCAAGCACCAGTCCCGGACCACCAACTGCAAATCTCTTTAAAAACAAGTTTTGGGGTGTAGGGCTTGGGGCTTTGTCCTACCGATTGTCCGGGCTGCAGAGGGGTTTAGGCCGACGCTCAAGGCCGGCGCTGGAGCGGGGCGCACATGCATGGATCCATTGAGCATGACACAGGATTGTAGGGTTTGGGGCATCACCCGAGCCTGACGTGGGGTAAGATCTTTCAAGTGCTGCTTTAGGGTTTAGGGTTGACTTGCAGAAGTACATGTACCGCCATTGTCAAAGCGGTCTAGATTTGGCAACAGGGCAATAACAATGATGATAATCACAATAACCTAGACCCTAAACCCTGAACCCCTAAACCCCAAACCCAATAGTCCTCAGCATGATCGGTATTACTATCAGCGCTGCGCATAGAGCTAGCCCACTGTGTCCAGCGTGACATCAGCACCCTTGCGGAAGATGGCGGCTCTGAAGCTCACTACGGCTGATGGACAAAATCCTGCATGACCTTATATACCTAAACTATGGGATTTATGGTACTATACTATATTTGGGTCATGCAGAATTTTGACCATCAACAGTAGAACATTCGTTAAGGGCTGAGGGCTCTAAGACTCTGAGGTTAAGGGACGATTGATGTAGGGGCCGAAACAATTACCAATGCTATCTTGCCGGGGGGTTCCTTACTATGATTATAGTATAATGGGCCCGAAAACCCTATTCTAAGTATGAAGGCCCCTAGATTATAGACCTTAAAGGTTTCAGGCAGTCGACTGCTTGGCAATGCCCACTTGTTCGACTCGAGGTTCCAACTTTGCAGTGCAGCTTTAGGAGTCCAACGGGGAGTTGGCGAAGACCCTACCGCTGTGTAAAGGGTGAGCTTCCAACCTTTCGCTCTGAATCGAAAGGCCTACCAGGTAATCTACCATGAGAATTGCAAGCGGCTTAGGCTGTGCTTCAGCACAGCCCCACTCACCGTCAGCGCCAGCGAATCTTGCACATTTTTCACCAGCACCTGAGACTGCAGGGTACTTCACTACCGCGCCCTGAGCCTGAACTGTGGATTTGGTGATTCATCTTTCTCAATCATCGCTCTTGAAGAGTCTGGGGCCAAATCGCAAACTGGGCTTCCCTTCTCAGCTTGTCTGCAACAAGAATGGTGGCACAAACAAGAGCGTAAGCTTTTGCTGAACCGCAGGGTGCTGAGGACTTCGCACGAATCGCCAGGGCTGCTGGCTTTCACAAGAAGACAAAGACGAGTACATCAAGAGTATTCCTGGACTGCTACCTGTGATGGCTGCATTCCGGGAAGATAGTGGAGATGATGTGCACGTTAGTTAGATTCGCTCTACCATTGTCATGAAAGCTACGGACGTCAGCGGTTTGGCCAGAATCTAATCCAGTCGTTACTAGTAGACTTGCAGACAGGCAGCAGTAGCAGCAGTGGGCACACGAACAAAAAACAAACGGCAAAAAATGCAACAGCAAGTAAGATCGTCATCACCACCACCGCCACCACCACCACCACCACCACCACCACCACCACCACCACAACCAACGCCAGCGGCATCAGCACCATCAGCACCATCGCCGCCACGACCACCAGCATCGCCATAATGATCATCACCATCGCCGTCGCTGTTGTCATCGTCGCATCACGATCGTGCTGATCATAGGGGCCTAAAGAATTAAATTGCCTATACTATTTTCGGGGATTCCTCAGCACAATTATGGTATAATGGGCCCCCAAACCCTATTCGAATTATTATATGAACTGATCATTGTTAATGGGCCCCCAAAACCTAAACCCTACACCCTAAACCCTAAACCGTCATTATATGAACTGATCATGAACCCTAAACCCTAAACCCTAAACCCGGTCATCATCCGACGACGAGTTCTGGGCCCCCGGCTCTCAAGCGGAAAGCCGGCGAAGGCGATGCAGTTGCCATGCATTGAAAGTCCTGTCAAGAAGTGTAATAGAGGGATCTTCATAATTAGAGTAGGGTTTTGGAAGTGTAATATAGGGATCTTCATAATTAGAATAGGGTTTTGGAAGTGTAATATAGGGATCTTCATAATTAGAATAGGGTTTTGGGGCCCATTATACTATAAATATAATTAGGAAATCCCAAAATAATATAGGTAATTATTAAGGCCTCTATATTACTGACTGTTCAGCGTGTGGGCTTTCGGCCAAAGGAGTGGAGCGGAAGTCCACCGGAATGTGCCCAGGGACACAGGTGGGGGTCCTTTAGGGTTAGGGTTTAGGGTTTAGGGTAGTTCAGAGTTGGGGCCTGCAGGATTGGCACAGAGATCGTCTCAGGCATGGGGCATCTCGGAAACTCCTAAGCCCATCTCTTACCTGTCCGAAGAAAGACTTGGGCGGTTCAGGATACTGCCGTCGTGTCTCGCCACAGCGCGAGCCTCCGGGCTTCGTCCGCCACAAACCCCGCAAATGGGGCAAAGCTTGTTGCCTTGCTAAGTGGCCCTGCGAAGCCGGAACTGAACAGGTTTACCCGTGCGCATGCAGCTGGACTTTTAGGACTACAAGCTTCGAGAATGAACAAAGCTTTCGGAGCTTGGGGCCTTGGGGCCTTAGGGCCTTGGGGGCTGGGGCCCTGGGGTCAAGGGCCACCAGTGGTCTGCGTGCGCTACTTATGCTCGGCTTGAGCCAGTTGGCGTCATCAAGCATGCGACATTTGGAGAAGACTGGACAGACTGCTGCATAGGACACCTGTGATCTGTGGAAGGTTCGCAAGTTTCCCATTCCGTCATCGCATCTGGATCTGGTGAGAGAGAGCAAACGGCCGCAGGCCCGCCTGGCAGCTGCATGTCTTGTGAGTGGCGCACCACGTTGCTGCTCTTCCAACTTTCGACCGACCCGTTGTATGCTCTACTTGGCATGCTCTGATGACTGGAAACTTCGTGCGCAGACTGCACATTACGAATGTTCCCTACTGCACTGCACAGGATGTTGCATGGGCGTGGCTAAACAAGGCCTCACCTGAGCCACAGCAGCGACAGGCTTCTCACACATGTCATGCAGGCAGAAGTTTTCACTCAAACTCCTGTCCTCCGAAGCTCCCAAATTCGTAAATCCTCAGCAGCTCGTGGAGAGAAACACGAGCCATTTTACTTCGGCTTGTCGTGAAAATTGCAGCCCTAGCTGCTCGATATCCAAGAGATCGAAGGGATCTAAAGACCCTAGATTCTTAGGGTGGATGCCGACGGATGCACGCGCAGGACCGCCTGCCAAGCTTGAGGCCGAGATCTGTCAAAACCAACGGTGGCAACATTACGATATTATACCATTATACTACACCAAAATCACTATTATACTATACCATACTGCACTCGATTCTACTCTACTCTACTGTTTCGTGTCGGCTGACCTCGGCTATGATTGCTTGGCCCCCACACGTGGCAAGTCCAATCTGCACACCTATGCGAGAATCACAAAACCGTTGCTCCTACACTTCAAGAGCACAAGAACCTTGGGTGAGCAAATGCAGCGAAGCCAGGTAAAAGCGAGTGCAAGTGGTCAGTCAGCAAATGATTACGCCATACTACACAAGCCAACGCGAAACTTATGAAACAAGAACATCAATCAGCTGCCTGGTCCAGTGACTCAACGGAAGAGAGTATGTAAGATTACGTAAGTATAAGTGTTGATCAGGAGTCATAGGCGAGAACACACCATGAATATTACGTATGCATGCATGTCTGCAAACACACGTATTTTTATGGCTGCAAGCAGGCACATGTCGAAATGTATGTGCATGCGTCAGGCTATGTATGTATGGACAGCTATGCCTGTGTGTGTGTGTGTAACCTACCTGCTACCTCCCTCCCTACCTACCCACCTGCCTGCTGCAAATGCCTACATACCTATTTACCTGTGCGTACATACCTACTCAGTACATGCAGACATACACACATGCATGCACACATACCTGCACCCATACACATATGCCTCCACACATACACACACACACACTCATGAACATACACACATATACATACATACATACATACATACATACATACATGCATACATACATGCAGGGGCCAGTATGCGAATACTTGAAGGTATGTATGCGCATATGTATGTCAATATACAGAGATGTACAGACATACATAGTTATATGTGCGACAAAATGTATAAGCAAGCCTGCAAGTACGTCTGTGCTTGTGTTGAAGGGCCAGCATGGACACGACATGCATGACCTACAGGCACATGCACATGTGCATGTGCAAGCAACGCATGCATATACGTGCACGCCTGCAGAGTCAAGCATGCATATGCACGCATGTACACACATCCACCCATCCATCCATCCACCCGTGCATTCATTCCTACGTAGGTATGTAAGTATGTACATACGTATATACATACATGCATACCCACCTACCCTATCGACATAATACAGAATAAACACACATACAGTATGTACATAAATAGCCGTGCTTACACATACCCGAAATGACCAGGCCGTATAACTTGTTACTCCTTTGGTCGCCCAGGTGTCCCTGTGCAAGACATGTCAGCCAACGGCCGCAGAACTTCGGGGTGAGACGCTGAGTCGAGTGGGATTGGGACCTGGGTGTCGAAGCCCGGGAAACTCCAAGGTTGGCCTTTAGAGCCACTAAAACGGTCGTACAAGTAAGACGTAACGAAGGAGGATATCCCTGAATTCGCAAACACCCCAGTCAGCTTGCTCAGGACCTTGGTCACGGCTTGTAGTACTTGGTGGGAACGAAGGGCATCTTGGTTACCTGGGCGGAGAGTGTAGGAGTGCCGCAGCCGGATCTCGCATGTTCACGTTTACTCTGGCCTGCCTTGGCCGGGTATTTCTTGCCGCGGACCACGACCTTTCTGAGCCCAGCATGCCGGTGCTGGCCCAGATTCAAGTGTCGAGAGCTCAGATGTTTGCATGCATGCATGCACTGGATGCATGTTAGACGGTGTTTATGCTACGTCTTGTTGCATGTAAGCATGTATGTGTACATGTAACTAACACACACAAGCAGCGGGTGAAAGCAAGAATACACATAATGTATTGTCGAAGTCATGGCAATCGCTCATCTTCTTCTGCAAAAGACTATCTAGAAGCTTGGCTTACGGTTGACTGGTTTCAGCTTTCCAAGCCCTCCAGATGTCTGCATGGAGGCCGGGCTTGCAAACTGAATATACGACCTCAACGACAAAAGCAGCCAGGTTGTGACGAGATAAATGACACCATCGTGGAAAACACCCTCGCCATTCCCTGAGTTTATCATCAATCAGGCCACGTCCATCCACATGTTCCACTAGGTAGATGCTGCAATGTTAAGAAAATATTCTACACGCGCAACCCAAGCCCTCGGAAAGCACTAATAAGCCGAGCTTCCCTTCATGATGCTTCACGAAGTGCGCTCTTATCATTCTTAGTCGTATTACTATTCTTAGTGCAGTTACTAGTCTCCTTAGTATTACTTCTTGTGATTTAACTCCTACTATTTCTACTACATCTGGTACTAACCCTAAACCCTATAAAACCTGAGGCGCGCAGAGGAGCCTGGAGGTCAGTGCCCTGCTTGTTGTGAGGCTTGTTGATGTAACCTGGGTTTAGGGTATAGCGGTTTAGGGCTGAAGCTTTAGGATTTAGGGCTTAAGTCAAAGGGCTTAGGGGTTTAGGGTTTAGGGAGTTTCGGGTCCTAGGAGGGTTTTCGGGGGGTCAGGGCTGTAGGTTGTAGGCTTTAGGCGTTTGAGTTTGGGGGGGTTCGGTTCGTTGAGGGTTTCAGGACCCTCATAGATCGGGAAGTAGTGTGGCAGTGGAAGCATGAGAACAAGCTGCGCGTCCGACTGTAGGGGTCTTCAAGGAACCCGAAGGAAAAGCACAGGCAGTTGCTTTGGCCCCTAAACCCTAAACCCCTAAACCCCTAAACCCCTAAACCTTAAACCCTAAACCCTAAACCAACTGCCAGGAGATCCTCCAACTCTGCCTCCCCTTTGCCTTTGGTCACCTTGGCCCTCTTTGGCTACGGTGCAAAGGGAGATTGAGGTTTTCGGGCCTTCGGGGAGCTATAGGGATTAAGGTTTCGAGGCCTTAGGGCCCTAAACCCTAAACCCCTTTGGGGTTTAATTCAAGCCCTGGGAGTAGGAAAGTTTAACGTATCCCGGAACCAAACACAAGTTTAAGGCTTGGGAACTGTAAGATTGAGGCTCAAAGCTTATGTGATGATTTGGGGCCACATGGTTTTTGGTGGCCTTTGGGTTGAGCATTGAGGTCTGTGCGGCCTGAAGATCTCTTGTTGCAGGTTGGGGCATTGGGTCATTACTGTTCGGGCTCAAACTCAATGAAGTAAGAAGTCCCATTGCACTCGAGCGAAACGAGTCATCTCGCCATATGTTTAGAATAATTGCGATGCACACACACACACACAGAGATACTTAATCGCACATGCACAACACAAATACTTACACGTACATGCATAGTCACTCTCTCTGTCTTTCTTTCTTTCGCCAGGGCTGTGGTGCAGGCCCCCTACACCGCGCGCGTCAAGCGCCCCCGACTGTTGCGGGTGACAAGAGTGGAAAATGCAAACGAGGCAAACAGCCCTCAGAAGGATCGACGACACACTCCACCGAGGCAAATTTGCAGCAAAACGAGGAAGCAGACAAGGTCACGTAAGGCTTAGATTTGCCTCGATGGGTGGCCTGAAATCCGGTGTCTCTCTGTCTCTCTCTCTCTCTCTCTCTCTCTCCACTGACGGCCATTGGACGTGATCGCGACCGAGCCGAGCAAGCAGCGTCAAGGTTGCATGGCATCTGTCTCTAGGACTAACCCGAGGCCCCACCGCAGGACACGACATACACAAACACGTGCGCATACAAGTAATACATGATGCATGCATGACACATGATGCATGACACATGATGCATAACGCACAACGTATAATGCAAAGACCATACACATATATATGCCGCTCATGTACACATACACATGAACATACACATACCCAGATACATAAACGTGTGTGTACATACATATACACACACACACATACACAGACTACACATACACGCTTAACTATCTACGCAGAAGTACACATCCACACACAGATACGAGCAGCTCAAAGGCTGGGACATGCGTCCCTTGACCTCGCACCCTGTGCTCCGAAACCTAAACCCTAAACCCTAAACCCTAAACCGGCTCCGCGGCGTGTCCTGAGGCCCGAACCTATAGAGATGTTCTTCTTCAGGCAGGGAGACATGCTTCCGCTGGTCACCTGCAGACGTGGTTGGCCCATTTTGAGGTTGAGGTGTAGGGTCTTAGGTTAGGCCTGTCTTTTCGAGCTGATGTCGGGAGAAGGTTTTCCTTGAATTGTAGTGTTAGTCCGCTGCATTCACCTACCAGCTCTTCCTGACCTAACAGCTGAAAACAAGGGCGCCATCTTCATCTGTGCAGCAGGCCGTGGCCCATGCATTTCCAAATTCTGAAGCGGCCTAGACCGTGCTCACGGTTGGTTGGGGTCCGTTTTGTAATGTAGGGGCGTAAATAATCACCAACACTA